AGAGAGAGAGAGAGAGAGAGAGAGAGAGAGAGAGAGAGAGAGAGTCCTCTACCTGATAGTAGTAGGACTGCATTTTTTTCAAGGTTGATTTCATAGTGCATTAATAAAGCATCCAGAAAAAATTGTGGTCATACACAGTCACAGTGGTACTAGCCTAGACTACAAGCATGCATTGCAGATCAGAATTGTCTTAATACTCCTCAGTTTTGATTTAGAGCTCTTGTACAAGAGTGGCTGGGGGTAGTCCCTCTGTAATTTTTTGTGCTCTTCTTCTTCCTCTTGGACTAAGGAGCAGCCACATATTTTATTTATTTATTTATTTATTTTATTTTATTTTATTTTATTTATTTATTTATTTTATTTATTTATCTCCACCCATTTCCCCCTAATGGGGGACTCTGGGCAGCTCACACAGTCCATTAAAATAATAAATATATATAAAATTGGAAAAATATAAAAACTATACAAAAAACTGTACAAGACATTACCAAGAAAAAAGTCCAGAGATGCATATGCTGCAACCTCAAGAAAGAAATGCTCTCCCTTCCTCACTTCAGGCTGCAGCAACTGCAGGCTTGCTCACCTACCAAATTTGAAAGGGTGCAAAATCTCCACCAGTAATTTCACAGTATTTTTTTTTCCAGAAATGTCACATCTGTGTCATTCTATTTCACCAGCAGCATAGCCAGAGGGAAATAATTTATCAAGACAGGAAGAGGAACATGTGGCCCTCCAGCTCAATGTTGGCCTTCAAGCCCTCCACATGGGCAGTGATGAGATCAAGAACATCAGGATGCCCCACGTGTTCCCTCCACTGATCTTGACAAATTGGGAAACCTTTACCTATACATTCTACAGCTTATGTAGATGCTAATGTTGCTAAGAAAGAGGCTTATGGTTGCCAGCCAACCAGAAAAAAACATTGGCATATTCTTCTGTCTTTTATGGTAGCTTGTTTTGTAAAACCTAGCAGGTGAAACTTTCTGTTGCATAGAAGTAAGAAGGTTCACTTGCCAATGTCTGAAGGTAAAACTGTTGTTAAAAGAACAAAAGCAGGCATCAGGAAATAAACTGGCTACCCTACAGAGACCCAGAACTATAGCAAGACCTACTTCTGGTTGGGACAACAAGAGTACAAAAGGTAGAGAACATCTAGCTCCCCTCTAGCTGTTTAGCACATTCTCCTCCTGACAGAATATGTGTCTTGTCAGACAGAGCTGGGCAAGTCTGGGCCACTTTGCTTAACATTTGGTGGATCAAATTGTTTGCAACCACTCCAAGAGCCTCTCCATAGTAGGGAACAGTAGCAGAACCCAGCCCTTGCTATGTTGACATAATGTCCTGTCAACATAATGGTATAGTGTCCCTACTCTTGTTGCTATTTTGTAGGTTTTCCTGATGGCCAACAAACTGTATTGTCCATATGGTTGGGTGTTTTGAGGGTGTTGATTGATGGGTAGCCAATAGCATGTCTATTCCCCCCTTCCTCTCAGAGTACAGAAACCCCTAAAATGTCATTGGGGCATGGGAATATTCCAGTGACAAGCAAGGTTGATCTAGTCACCTCACCAAAAGAGAGGCAGGAAGTGCTTCAAATTTTGCTCACCAAGCATTGTAATGGGACCATGAAGTGTAAAGGAGGAAGGGTTGAGTATTCAAAAGTACAGAAAACAGCAGGCTAAGGTTTCGTGTATTATGACTGAGAACAAGACATAGCCAGCATTATGGGGAGAGGAATACACTTGGAAAGTCAGGCTGTTCCAGTGAATCTGTAAATGCCTAATGAAGACAGGCTTTGAGTTTGAGAAATACATTTGAAGCATCTGCTTCTACAGCTTTGTTGGAGAATGACTAGCAAAGTAGACCAGTCTTTCCCATCCTGACACCCTCCAGATATGTTGGACTTCAACTCCCATAACACCTAACTAGGATGGTCACATAGGTATGAAAGATGGGATCTGAAGATCAGAGATGGACGGAAAAGATCATCCTGGGGTAGCTGGACAAATAATTAAAAAGTAAGTCTCATTACAAGACAGTTTCAGATGTTCCTACAACTGAGCCGCACAAGAAGCCTAAGGACAGAAGATTAAAAAGAATCATTTGTTTGTTTATTTGTTTGTTTAGTGGGGCTTATCTGCCACTCCAACCCAGTAGGGCTCTGAGTGGCTTCGGTTCACTTCTTATAGTACAAAAATAAAAATAGTAAAACAGTACAGCAAAATAACAAAACTAGCAATAATAAAAACAGTACCTAAAAAAGTAATGAAGAAGACTGTACCCACCAAGTAACAATAAACAGAGAAAATAAAAAAATTGGTATAAAAATTTTCACCTGAAGATGAGTAACAGGGAATGTTTCACAAATGGAGTTCTATCAGAGAGAACGGCCTCCCTGATCTAAGACA